CACTTCTACTCGAAATGGAAGTAAGCTCAACAATTATGAAACAAGAGATTTCTCAAAACCCAACTTTTCTTCGCATACACCAGTATGAATCATCAAATGTGTCCCAATGCTTTATTCCCCATCTACTCTACCGATACACTCGCCAATCAAACAGGAATCGGCAGAGGCTGTATGGCCGAACTTTAGCCCTCATCTCAAGATCTTCAGGCCCATAGCTGATCCTCGACTTAGTCCTAAATAAAAGTAGCTGCTGAGTCTGGTGGTTTAACGGAGGACGCTGAACAATAAATGGACTAAGGGTAGTGGACAGTTGCCATCCAAACCGACCAGATGACATGGCCATGACGCCTAATTTCTGCTATCCGCCCACTCTTTTATGGGCCCAAGCTATCTCTGTCTCGCTTAGCAGAGGTGGGCTTCGTGTTTCCTCTTATCGGGCCGCTGTTCATCTCGCAAGCTCTACTTTGGGAGGCAAGCAGAGTTGGAAGGAAGCTCACTGGAAGAGCTTTTCGGTCGGCTTCGTCGAATGGCTCCATTACTTCATGGTGGCTGTCTGTCATTGCAAATGCAATGCTCCTGATCGACATACACTATCGCCTAATACGGCTAAACATGAGGCAAAAGGATACAAAATGTATGCCATGTTCAAGCCGAGCTTTCGTCATTTCAGCATGCCTTGGCCAAAGTGTAACTGCATCCAGGCCCCTCACATATCCGCATGAGTGAGCAATCTGTCGTACCTTTTATGATTAAAAAATGCAGTGGTAACAATTCGATACAGTGTGTGCTAAAAGGTGTGCAGTGTCATTACATTTTCCGCATTAAGTTAGTCACTTTCATATAATTATTCTATCTTTACTCCGGATCTCAATTAACGACTTGACCTGAACCCACTTCCATAAATAGTGCCCCATCAAATAGTGTATTTCGGAGGACAAGTCTGTCGGTGGGTCGGGTGCTGGGGTAGTCATGCCTTGTTTCGTGATTGCACCCTCTGCCGACCAAGTGCCCGGCGGACGCGCAGAAGCAGCCCAGTCGGCAATGTTGACATTGAGACCACGAAGAGGCCAAAAACAGCATACCTCTCACTCAATCAACTCAATCAACCAGCCACTCGTTCAGTGGCCAAATCAGTCATTTACTGAATTAGTCGAGGAGACGACCACTTCAACAATGAACCAATCTTCCATGCTCACACGTCTTGCTGCCTGATCCTCCAGACAATAGCATATTAATTCTATTGGTTTATCATTTTGCTTATTTATCTGTCCACCTACTTGTACGTCCATTTGTGTGTCTACTTTTAACCGGCGCTCCACCCTGTACCTGGTTCTATGCTTCCTGCGCACGCTCAGTTCAGCCGGCCTATTCAAGACCAAAGATTATATTGTCTCGACCGAAATGATGTCTGAGAATATCATCTGAGTGTGCTTCTTATTTTGGTGATAGGGCAATGGTTAAGCACAAAATTGGCTCTTTTTGTCTTGCACACGTCTGAGCACGCGAACACACGAAGCCCACCTTGGCGGTACATTTTAACGCTCGTTCAGTTCGCTGAGTAAATATTATTTTTACGCTGTCCGGCCTATTTCATCTGTCTGCCCAGAAGGTAGACACACATAATATTGCAGCCTCGTAGACGTCGGATCCGAGGCGGACTCTATCCGCCAACCGCCCGGTTGGATGGAGTAAAGGAAAGAGATAACGACTCCATGCGCCAGTGTCCTATATGGATAAACACACACACACACACACACACACATGGAGGTCTAAACACGACCCCTCCCAGAAGCATGGCCGATTCTTGCTCGGGCTGCTGAGCAAGGGACTAACCGGTGGTCATGTTACAGTCCACAGAAAGGTTTTTGTGAAGACTTTCATTTCGCGAATCAGCCGGCGTCTTCTGGTGAGATTGACCTACGAATCTCTTTATCGTGTATTTTCATACGAAATAAAAGTCCCCACAACAATCTTAGCTCAGAAGATTCTTTGAAACCCGCTTTTTCTTCATATATTCATAAAGGTTCACATAACAACAAGAGGATGCAACGATGACGGCTTGGGAAATCTTGAAATTCTGAAGCCTCAGCCAGCGTCGGACCATTTAAGCTGAACTGTATCAATGCGTAGATAGCATAATTGACCGAGAGAATATGGGTCGAGGCATCAGCAATATACAAACAGTAGCTCGGTTTCAATAAATATCCTAGGGGATAAATTTTCTTTCGTGTAGACATGCCTAAAGTGGGTCGATCTCACCGGACCCTTGTCCTGCAGTAATTTGATTTCTTTACAACTTTCAGGTTGGCGTAGTCCACGACACATCTTCCCTCGGCTCCTTTCCATCGCTTCTTCAAACGAAATGAAAGGTACTCCAAGCTTCTTACAACATTCAAGAAGAAAAGTTGGGTTTCGAGGAGCCTCTTGGACTGTTATCGTTAGGCTAACTTTCATTTCGTGTGAAAGTGTATGATGAAGGCCAGTGAATTACTCTTGGCCAGCTGTCGGTTGGTTTGAATCGAGCATTCTTGACTCGATGCAAGAATGAAACCCTGCTCTGATGATGTCCGTCGTATAACAGGTGAAGCTTAGTATGCTTTTCCATAAAGCCAACCAACAGCTGGACAACACGAATCCGTCGTCGTCTTCTGATTGGGTCGATCTTCAAAGCTCTTCATGGCGCACACTTTCCCTCGAAATGAGATTGTGTTCAGCGAAATTCAATAGGTCTGCCAGGCTTTACATTACATGCTGTAGATACTCATAAGATATAGAATAATTTGGCCAGTTCTTTACCGTGTTCAGCGTGTTAATTATATGTTTAGATGAGTATTTGTCCACACGCATCTAAGTGAGAGCAGCAGACATCAGTCATAAATCTGGGTAAGTATGAAAGCATCTAAATCTGTCAGAGTTCATCAAGAGTTACCGGCCAAAAGTATCACTGGGATTACATAATACCATGCGCCTGTACGAGGGGTGAGCATGACAGAACTGACGAACAACTATGAATGTGGCTAGAATAATCACTGAGTTCAACAGCCGATTCGCCTTCCATTCTTCGGCGGC